GAGAGCCCCTGGGCAGGCAGCCGGCCGTCTCATCGGCCCTGCCAGGAGCCTGCTCCAGCAGGGCCGACAGCTCGCCAGCTGCTCCGGTCCCCTCTGGCCCGCGCCTTGGCCCTGTCCCAGTGCCAGAACCCATGGCCGGCAGGGACGAAGTCCCTTCTCTCCTGCACCAGCCGCCCTCCTGTTCTGATCCCGATCCCCAGCCCCAATCCCAACACCTCCCCCAGCATCATCCATAGGGACAGGAAGTTGCTAAAAATACTCCCCAACTCTGGCCTGGCGGCTCCACCAGAAATGTGATCCGGAGAGCAGTCCCAAGGCCCAGGGACAGGTGACACGGGGGAAACATCCCTGGAACAGTGTGGGGCTGCCGCTTGCAGAACCAGTCCTCTGGGAGATACCTTCCCGCCCCAAACTTCCTCAACCTACTGGGAGCCTCTCTTCTCCGGGGCTTGGAGCAGGGACCTTTTCACTTAATTGTGTTTCAGGTTCCAGGATAGGCTCTTGACCTCACTTAAGAGAAGACGTGGGGTAGGCACCCAGAAATGCTTCTTTAATATTCCCTGCTCGGAAGAGGTTAGAAACATGGGCCAGACTCTGGGGATTCTGATCCAGGAGCTACCTCTTAGCTTTGTGACCTTGGGCAAGTTACTTAACCTCTCTGTGCCACCTGTTTTCTCATGCCAGATACGGATGATGGTACCTTGGTCACGGGGTTACCGAGTCATCTGTAGAAGCCCCAAATGGTGCCCGCCACTTAAGAAAGCAATGGGTCTGTTTTGTGGAATAAGCTCTGAGGAAGCAGTGTCACCTCTCCGGGGAGCTGTACAACAGGTACCCTCTCTGGGCCTCAGCACCCTCTGCCATGCAGGGCCCTGGTGGGCTCTGCGGTTTTCCAGCTCTGGCAGCAGAACCTTCTCCCTGACAGTTCACCTAGAGTGCTGACCTCCCCTGGGCTCGGTGGATGTGGCACCGGGAGCCCCGAGACACCTGCCTGGTGTGCCGGCCGGGTTCTCAGACTCACGGTCATCAGCGTGGACGATCTGGAAGTTCTTGACCGAGGCCTGGGTGACGCGGCCCTGGAAGTTGAGGGTGTAGGAGCCGCTGTCCTCGTTCCACACGGGCGGCTTGTTATGCAGCTCTATCAGGCTCTCCAGGGTCTTGTTCTGCCACCGCACCAGCAGCCCATCGCTGGCCTGGGCCGGGAGAGGGGTTAGGGTGGCCGGTTCGAGAGCCGTGAGGCCTGACAGTGCCCCATGGGCCTTAGGACTTGGCCACCTGCCACCCCCAGTTACGGGACAGACAGCTCAGGACCCGCCAGGCCGAGTTGAGCTTGGGGGACAGACAGGTAGACCGGGGCTGGGGTGCCCTCGGAGGGGGTTCCTGTCAAGAGGGAGCAGTGTGGTGTTTCTCTTCCCTTGTCGCCTGTTTGTGTCCGTAGCTCAGTGTCTGTCCCTCAAGGTTTCCTCCTCCAGGAAGCCTTCCTGACCCCACATCTGAAGCAGACAGCCCAGCTTCAAACTCCCATGGTGCCATGAGCACACAGTGCCTCGGTTTGCCCCACGAGGCTACTGAGAGAACTCAGTTAATAGCACAGGGGATGGTATTCAGAGCGGTTCCTGGCATGGACTAGGTGCTTGGTAAATAGCAACTATGACAGCTGCTATGTTGAGTCTGGCTCTCAGGCCTGGCCCAGAGCATGTTTAAGGAGTCACGGTACACACTGGGCATGGCGGGGCATGCCTGTGATTCCAGCACCTGGGAGGCTGAGGCAGGAGGATCACTGAAAGTTCAAAGTCAGCCTCAGCTATGTAGCCAAAGTGTGTGTGGGGGGCTTGCACAGTGGGAACTTTGGGTTGGTGAACAGAGACAGGCAAGCACAGTATTTCCTCCAGTCAGGGAGACGGGGAGCTGTGGGACCCGCAGGTGGAGCAAACCCCCAGAGCCTCTGGTGGCTGGGCCCAGCCTGAGATGTGGGCATGACTCCAGCAGAGACGCTGTGCCCTCAGCTGTCGGCAGTGTTACTTTTCGTTGGAAATGAGTCCGGTGACATCAGTCTCCTGTTCCTGTCACCGGCCTGCAGGGCTGAGGGGCAGAGCCCCAGACGACTCCGCACCACATCCCGCAACCCACACAAGAAAAACAACCTTTGCTTTAAAAAAGAAGTGGCCTCCTGGTTCAGAACTCTGCTTTGGGTTTTCATTTCTTCAAAGCAAAAACCAGTCCCACCGGCCCTGGGTGCCCCTCGCCCTCACCTCTGACCTCACAGCCCTGGAGGGTGCAGGCTGCCTCTCGCTAGCTTCCTGCTGTCTCGCGCCCAGCAGGCGCTCTGGGCCCCAGGGCCTTTGCATTGCCCCCTCTCCCCAAGCTCTCCCGCAGGCGCCTGCCCGCACGGCCACTCCATCCCACCCTTCCACGGCGAGGCCCTCGCTGCTGCGGCCTGCAGTAGCTAAGCGCGCTTGCCGTCCGTCCCTGCCTGACTTGCCCACAGCGCTTGTCCCTTCTCCATGTGCAGCCCGCCCTGATTTCTGACCGTCCCTCCTGCCGCTGGACGCCGGCGCTCTTGGGCCCTGGTGTTGGGGCTGGGGTTCCCCGAGTTCACCCTTCACCCGGCTCTGCTGAGGGAGGGCGCTGGGCACTGAGTAAACTGAGTCCCACCCTCCGGGCCCGGGGTGGGGCTCACGTTCCGCGGCCGGATGGGGACCGGCTGGTGGTCGGCGTTCATGCCCGGAATGACGACTGTCATACGCCGCGGCCCGCGGAAGCCCAGCACGTTGGTCTCCTGCGGGAGACGCGGTTAGGCTAGGCCAGGCCGGGAGGCAGAA